TACTCAAGTCATCGGTGTATTCAAATATTTCTTGCATCAAGTGTGCCATGAAAACAAATTCAAATGTCTGAAATGATGTCAACATAGTCATTGCTGCTACTGCCTCTATGCCATTATACTCTTTTGCAATCCTTATGAGAACACACCTTATTGCCGGATACATAGAGATAACATGGCTGACAGTCTTGCAGTGAGAGCCCCAACGAGTATCACATGGCCTTCCAATACCCATTTCTTGATTCAAACCCGTCCCGGTTTCTACTTCTTCCAACTCTAATGCAGCAATAAGTTCCTCAGCTTGAGCTATTCGAAGCATTCTCATCTTTTTACAAGAATAGCCTAGAACATTTAGCAAACATGCCAGATGTTGAAAGAACCAATTACAATCACCACTCTCCTTTGCAATAGCAACAAGAGTTAATTGTAGTTGATGGGCAAAGCAATGGACATAATAGGCATAAGGAGACTCATCCATAATTAGTTTCTTCAGGCCATTAGCATTACCTTTCATATTACTAGTCCCATCATATCCTTGCCCACGGGCCATTGCAAAGCTCAAATTGTATACCATAAGCATGTCCTCAATTGCAGCTTTAAGTGTCAAAGAGGATCTTCAACATGGGCAAGACCAAGAAATCTCACAACTGTCCTTCCTTTCTTATCCACATAACGCAAGCAAACAGCTAGTTGTTCATTCTGGTGCATATCACTAGACTCATCTGCAAGTACTGCAAAATGTCCACCATCAAGATCTTCAATGACTAGTTTAGTAGTCAGTTGGGCACAATATTTGATCAACTCTTGTTGTATATCATGGCAAGTCATCTTACAATTTTGTGGAGCATTCTTTAGAACCACCCTATCAACCTCTTCAAAGTTTCCTGCTAGCCAATTTAAAAGCTCAAGGAAATTTCCTTTATTTAGCGAGTCATCACTTTCATCATGTCCTCTAAATGCCAAACCTTGGTGCAATAGGAATCTTAAACACTTGAGTGTCCATGTCACACGGAGCTTATATAGAACCTTGTATTGTGTGGTGTTTGAAGCAATGGACTCCCTAATTGATGTTGTAGGTGTAGTGAACATATCATACTTTTCTTGAGCTTCAGCGTGAGCACTACTAACAACACCAATATGCCTCTTCAATCTATCTTTCAAGTTCCAATTATTAAACCCACCGTTCACGAATGCATCTCCTCCGGGACTTTTTGTTTTATCCTTGAACAAGTAGCAAACTAAGCAAAAAGCAGCCTCTTCTTGCACACTATACTCAAGCCACTTATGATCCTTAAACCAAGTAGGGCAAAAGCGACGGGGATGCCCACTAAAATCTCTGATCTCAAACTTATGATCCTTTGGTTGACAAGCACCCAAGTCAATGTATCTCCTTCTAACTCTATCTTGGTCATTGGCATGGTACAAAGATATGGGAAGTCGCTTGCCGGGATCACGTTCCAGAGCTGCCAAATCTGCTTCAAATTGGGGCATTGATTCATCATCTTCATCGACCGCTTCATCATCTTCTACAATTGGAGTTGTCTCCCTCTCCGGTTGCGAAGCTTCGTCATGTCTTTGCACTATTGCTAGCTGCAGATTGCTCTCAACCTCAATGGAAAGAGAAGTTGGTGTGGATGTAGAAGTTATTTTCCTTGTCTTCGAAGATTTGTCCCACATTTCAAATATGCTAACACCCTTCTTCTTCATCTGCATGACAATCACATAAACAAAATAGAAATCAGTGGCAGTGACAATGTGGCATGGCCTAATGTACATGGGACAAACACTTCAATTTTCATAGTAAACAAGAAATGAATCACATAGTAAAGGAAGTTATTGCAATTTCAATTTAGTGCATTTAAATTTACAAGCACTCACTGAATAAACTACATATTTGTTAGAAACAGAGGGAAAGAAACAGAGGAAGTGAGGAACCGAGGCCGGACCCGCTGCCTGCTCCTGCTGGACGACGCTGTCGCCAGACCTGCTGCCTGCTGCTGCTGGACGGTGCTGAACCGAGGCCGAACTGTCGATGGAGGGCGCTGCCGGCAGCCACCGCGCTGGGGAAGCCGGAGGCGGACTGGCGGCCTGCCGGCCTGGCGCTTGGCGGAGCCGCGGAGGAAAGAGGGCCGGACGGAGGAGATGGGAGCTGGGGAGGGGAGGGAGATGGCCGGAGTGGAGGGGAGGAACTGAGGGAGAGGCGAGAGGAGAAGGCCGGCCGCCGGGCCAGAATCGCTGGCCGCCGCCGCCGGAGCCTCAGCTAGCGCTAGGTTAGGGAAAGGGCTCGCGCGCGAGACCAGACACCCGGTCGCTCCTGTCTGGCGCCCCGCGTCGCTGTGTTTGGGCTGGGCATTGGCTGGGCCAAGTCAGTCTACATGTATATTGATATATGTACTAAATTTATTTTGCACAAAATTCTTTGGTATTCCACGGAATACCCAGGAATACCCCCAGCTCCGCCGTTGCAACCACATACACATACGTCTTCGATTGTTATTACTTTGTTGGTCTAAATCGCAAACTGTTGCTTGCGTGGCAGCAGCCTCAGCGCCGGTGCGACGGCGAGATCGCGCAAAGCATGAGGTGGTCACGGGCCTTGGCTTGTTGCTTTCAGAAGCTGAAAGCTACGAGTCAACCTAGAGAATCGTTAAGGACTAGCATGCAGTGCGACGGTCTTATAGCGCGAACGGCGAGAGGCACCGTCATGTCAACCTGACATCTGCATGAGAAATAATCACGGCAACATAGGGGCTGCTGCATGACTAATCAAGCGGTGCAGAGCCAATCGTGATGTAAGGGGGTGTCAGTTTTCATGGACTTTTTGTGTAGGGACTAAAAAAGTCTTTCTTAGAGACATTTTCACCAAACGGGAGGGACTTTTTAGGGACTAAACTAGGCATTTGGGACTAAATGAAGAAGACTCAAGAAGAGTCTTTTTGGGACTTTTTGGGACTTTTCCAACAATCGCAAACTGTTGTTTGATCATTATTTTTCTATATACTAGGGGCAACATGATCATTTAATAACCTCTAGGAAGGGACTAAAGACTTTTTAGTCTCTGGAAACAAACATGGATGGATTTTTTAGGGACTAGGGACTTTTTAGTTGGGACTAGAAAAAGTCCTAAAACTTATGAACCAAACAGGGCCTAAGACTAGCCATAGTAGAGATTAACTTACACTAGTAGCATACACGCTACCTTAGACTATGTTATTATCTCCATAATGGGTACTAACATACGTGTGGTGTCATGTAAAGATTAATTTACTAGGTTATAAACTCATATTGTCTTGGAATATGTGATGTTACGGTAACTAGCTAAGAGCAAATACAATAAGGTGATGTAGGCGGGCTGTGAGACATTAAATATTATATTCTTGCTTACTTGGAAGAGAGAGAAGAGGAGAGAGAAGAGAAGCGGGCTACTAGTTAACAGCCGGCTAGAGAAAAGAGAAGTAGTACATATTTATATCTAACTATTATACTTGTTGGCTATAAGCTTGGCTATATGTGACATGGCAACGTCATATAGCCAGCAGTTGGCTATATTATTAACCATGCTCTAAGTTACTACTCAATTTACCTCTCTCCTCATTAACTCATTTTCACACATGCAAATTTGTTGTGTTGGACCCGATGTTACTCTTGAAGTTACTTCTACCATGACTAGTCTAAGGAGTAGGGAACATTCACGTGATATCATTCCTGATCATTAATTATCCGTCTAGTCTAACTCATAATAGTTTTTTTAAAGGAATTCATAATAGGTTTTGACTTGCCTATGCACGTACTCCTTACAAATTATCTTTTTCTAATCAATCTGAACTGTTCCTATTACAATTCCTGTTTATCGCATTTGGCTTTGGTGGGAAAATATATCTACTTGTATGTGATGTGTTGAATTGTTTGTATGTAACATTTACATCTTTAAATCTCAGGTCTTAGTATCTAAACTTAATGGTCAGTATAATTTAATCTTTGATCCAGAGAATCGTTAAGGACTAGCATACAGAGTAAGATGGTCCTATAGCGCGAACAGCGACGCACCGCCACAATTGACATGACATCAGCATGAGAAATAACCACGGCAACCTATATAGGCAGTGCAGAACCAATCGTGCAGTTCGTGCGATGTCATTCCCGATCGTTAATTATCCGTCCTTGTCCAAATCATAATAGTTTTTTTAAAGTAACTCATAATAAGTTTTGACTTGCCAATGCACGTACTCCTTTCAAATTACCTTTTTTCTAATCAATCTTCTGTCCATCGCGTTGAGCGTGGATGAACATGATGGTTTGTCTGCCTCTTGTTTTAATAAAAATATGATATAATAGATATTGCAGCTCATAAGTACATTGAAAAGTAGTGAAATATTCTTTAGCCTCTACTAATTCTGGGTTGCATCGATCATACATTACATGATCTATTTCTTATACAACGTCCATGGCCATCCATTGGGGGTTTAGGAACCCCTTAAGTCACAGTGGTGTACCCCATCACGCCTTGATGCAAAGAAAAAACAAAATATGAAGCTAAGTGTTGCAAACTTCTAAGGACCTTGTATGCCCATCGATTTCAACCCTCCCTAGTTAAAGAAGGATGCAAAGTTCATAGCAAGTGTGCCGTAGCTAACAAAGGAAAATACCCTGTTTGCCCAAACAGATGGCCAGAGCACTAACCAGTGCAAGATCTAAAAACGCTTGATCACATAGCGCTTGTCAGGCAGAGAAAAGATATATCCAGCTCCACTGTTTTCCATTCTCACGTTGCTTCAAATCTTGTTCTTGATTTTGTGTCCAATCCATTCCTTTGTAGACCTTTATTTAGTCCAATCGGAAATTGCTTAGGTTTTTTCTTACGGAAATCCACTGTTCAACTTGTATCTACCATAAAGGCCTGATCTAAAGTTCAACAGCTGATTATTCTGTAGTTTAAACGGCAAGTACCAAGTCCAAATCAGATTTTTGTGAATTTCATAATCTAAATTTTTTTTGGACTACAGATTATTGATCCCGAGGAGCTGGCTAGTCTAAATGAAAAGGTGGACCTTGCAAAACTTGTGGCCAAATGTGGTGGGCTTCCGAAAGTAGTGTTTGCTATAGGCAAAGACTCAGGGTCATTCTTGGAGCATATGGATGATGACTTTATGCTCAAATTGGAAACCAGGCCTCAGTTCCATACTTTGAGCGGTCTATTATCTTGGATGCATTCCTATTTTGATGCTTGTTCAGATTTGGTAAAGCCATATATCTTCTACATGTCTGTCTTCCCTGCAAGCAGCAAAATTAGGCGAGGCCGTTTATTCAGGAGATGGATCGCCGAGGGCTACTCCAGAGACTCACCGGGTTGTACCGCAAGGGAGAATGCGCAAAAGCACTTGTCTGAGCTTGTTAAGTTGAGCATAATCCGGCAAGCAACAAGCAAGGACACTTGTCAAGTCAACGGTTTCTTCCATGAATACATCATCTCGCGGCCAATGGGGGATAATCTTGTTTTTGCATTGGATGGTTGTTCCAGTCTAAACACGCAAGGCACGGGACAACACCTGACCATAATGGAAGACTGGCACAGGGACCAAACTGTGTTTGAGAGCATTGACTTCGCACGGCTGCGGTCTTTGACAATATTTGGGGAATGGTGTTCATTCTTTATCTCCGACAAGATGAAGCGGCTTCGAGTGCTGGACCTAGAAGATATGATAGCTGTTACAAATGATGATATTGAGCAGATCTTTGTGAAGCTGTTGAGACTCAAGTTCATCTCGCTACGAGGATGCAAGAAGATTAGTCACCTGCCGGATACATTGGGAGGGCTGAGGCAGCTACAGACTCTTGATGTAAGATTCACCGCCATAGTCATGTTGCCATCTGCTATCATCAAGTTACAGAAGTTGCAATACATCTGTGCTGGTAGAGATCAAGATTGGACATCGGCATCATTAGAAGACGGCGATGGGCTCACAAGCCAACTACCAACAGCAACATCACCAGAGATAGAAGGTCGAGATAGCAGCATGTCTGCAGGTCAGCCAGCAGTAAAAACATCTCCTGAAAATGGCATTTCCGTAAGCCCAGCACAGGCAGCAACAATACCAAAAGCCAAGTTTCCACCTCGGTTGCCCAAGTTTCCACCTGTTACGTGGAGCTTGTGTGGGTCTGAGAGAAAGAAAGAGGCCCAACATCATAGTGCTGGTGTTGAAGTACCTGTAGGGATTGAAAAACTTCCGGACTTGCATACTGTTGGTGTGGTGAATGTCAATGCAGCAGGTGGGGAGGCCTTTCTGAAGAAGCTCAAAATCCAAAAGCAATTGTTCAAGCTAAGAGTGTGCGGCATCAATAAGAAAAACTGGCGGCTGCTGTGTTCTGCCATCTCGGAACATGGCAATCTGAAATCCTTGTCAGTGCGATTCGATGATGATTGCATCGACGATAGATTCAATCCACCCAAGACCCTAAAGAGCCTTAAGCTGTACGGGCCTATAAGGAAATTGCCGGTCACTATCAAGGCTCTTGTCAATCTCAAAAAGTTGGATCTTGAGATGACTATTGCAAGGGCAGATGACATACACTTATTCTTGAAAGAAAAATTGCCACGTCAAGATATCCTAAATCGCCTCTGCATCAAGGTGCAAGAAGACCATGAGCTAGATTTTGACTCATCGCAATTCGACTACTTCGATCAAGATGATAATGATTATTTCCATCCTCGGGTCCTCAAGATGGATTGCAGCTCAAAGATAACTGTAATTTTCAGATGTAGCACATTCGTTGATGTTAAGGTGCTGTTCATCCAGTGCTCTAAAGGATCATCTTTCAGGGTTTCTGGGAAATATGGGCTAAGCCCTCTAGAACATCTCAAGACAGTTTGGCTTAAGGGTTCTTACAGCGACGAACAACAGGAGCACCTGAAGGAACTCGTTGGCCGTCATTATTGCAAGACAGCCATACTGAAGTTGGAGCCACTGTAATAGTACATGCTTTCTTGCTTGCCTCCTACTATCGTTTTTTATTGTTTCTTGTATACGCTTTGACATGCATATTTCTTTCCAAATTTCCATCAGAAAAGCCATATTCTTAGGTTGAACTAGCAAGCATCCGGCACATGTATAACGGGCTTTTTCGTAATCAAAAGGTTTCTGGTCTTCGTGACAAATAATTGTTTCTATGCTGGCTGTTTCAGCGAGCGTGTATATCCTAGAATTACTGCAAGAGATAATGTTGACGACTACTTGTTAATAGAACAATTATTTCTATGAGCCAATGCAGTAGCCAGTGTTGTAGCAGAGGATCATTGCATCACTCCGAATGAGAAAAGAACAGTTCATTCACAATTAACGAACCAGCAGAGTAAACACTGTTAGAGTTAGAGGTAGAAGCTTGTTTAAACTAATGTAATCTCAATCTCTAGCCTATCTCTCTCCCGGTTTGGTTTCCTCTCTCCTGTAAACCATCATATCCTAGCGATAGATGGAAACTTGTCAGCTCGATCAATAAAACCCAACGCGACTCCCACTACTAGAAAAAAGGCTGCTAGTGGCGCACCTGTTTTCGCTACTAATGGCGCACTACAGGTGCGCCACTAGCACCACGCTATTAGATTTTTTTACTAATGGCGCACCTGTGATACGCCATTAGTATAGATACTAATGGCGCACACCATTAGTATAGCCCACGGTGCGCCATTAGTATTTTCTTAATCTCAGGTGACTATGGCTAAACCTCGGGTCAATATGCTTAATCTCAAGTCAAATCGCACTCTGTGGTCAAACTTCCCAGAAGGTCACCCATCCTCACACTACTCCAGCCCGAGCACGCTTAACTTTGCAGTTCTATCAAACCCTTAAACCAGCTCACTTCACAGGCACTTGTTGATATATCTATCATATCAATCATATTAAACCTTCTTGATGTCTAGGACTTTGTTCATGTTCATGAGTATGATGAAATTTTAAAAAAATATTTCAAACTTCCCGGCCATATTACGTATCATATTTTGAAAAAAGTTCGAATTCTTTTTTTGAAACCAATTTTTTTTTCTGTTACTAGTGGCGGACTTAGCAAACGGTGTGTCACTAGTAAGTTTGAAATTTTTTCCATTTTCCCTCTAGATCTTAAAAGCTTCGTAACTTTTTTCTGTTAGGTTTTTGGGGATTTTGAAAATATTTAACGGGGTTCCCCCAGTTAAATTCGGATGTAACTTTTTGAGTAGATGATTTTTCATATAAAAAACTTTTTAATCCGAGTTCGTATGCAAAAGTTATGCCCATTTTACAAATTCCAGAGAGATTTTGCAAATAAAGTCGAAATTCATATTTGTAAATTTTCCCAACAAGTAGACCACATATCACATGGGAAACTTATTATCTTTTATTTTTTTAACATTTCCGTCATTTCTTTTTTAACTGA